CAATCACCATATTTGGGTTTTATTCATATCCAGCAGTTCTTTAATCACAAGAAGCCAGTCAGCCAAAAAAAAACAAATGCATTGAACAAAAACAAAACAAAATGGAATTGAATTGATGTATGCTGGTTATATGCTATCCAAATCTAAACTGTATTATATGTTAGAAGGGGAAATATAAAAGGTGAATTGAGATGAGTGAGGAAGTTGTCAGGGCCGATATACTCTCACACTCACTGTCATGGTAATGTGTGTATCCATTTCTTTATCCTGCCCACCCTCTCCTCCTGCTTACAGAAAACGGAGCTCCTTCTCTAATCATCGATACAGGAAGTAATTCCTGCCACCAGCTATAACCCTGCACACCTCCTCTGGAGGGCAGAGAACTCAGAGCTCCATCCTTTGTTTAGTTTCTGTTTAACCAGATTTCACGGTGTCTTTCTCCCTTCCAAAACCCTGAACATTTTGTACATATTGTACTGAGTTTAAGCTGCAACTACTTTGCACACTTTGTAATGTATACATATATCCTATGTTTATAGTTTATTAAGTGTTAGTAGTAGTTTAGTCTACTATAGTGTTGTATTACTTATTCTATATATTTTTGAATTGTGTTTTTATATATTGTGACTTCTATATACTGTACAAGAATCTTTCTATTGTTGGTATGTAAACATTTACAGAGCCCTGGAGGGTTCATAGAGAGAAAAATAAATAAAACGTGGCCACGTTTTACTTTCTCGTTAGCACGAGATACCTTCTCGTGCACACGCTTTAGTAACCCGTGCGCACGAGTTAATAAAGCATGCGCACGATTTACTAAAGCGTGAGCACGAGTTACTAAAGCGTGAGCACGAGTTACTAAAGCGTGCGCACGAGTTAATAACGCGTGGCCTCGTTTTGTGTGTGCGCGCGCGTGTGTGTGTTTGTGTGGGGGGGGGGGGAGGGCATTTGTTTATGATAGTATCGTTCGTTCCGGTGCACTCCAGCAGGACTATCACATCGAGATTAAGATTAAACAAATTTCTTTCACTTGGGAATACACATATAACTATGGAGAACCAGATTTGTGTAAATTACTGTTCGTGGTAATTCGGAAACAAATGCCGGTGGTGTCGGACACACACAAACACATCGAACACGCACACAGAGCGGAGCTGAGTGCACACACACACACACACACACACACACACACACACACACACACACACACACACACACACACACACACACACACATCATGCGCCCCGACATCTCCTTCATATAACGAGGGGGAATACTCTGGTAGTTCGATGTGTGTATAGGTGTGTGTGGTTAAACGTAGCAGCCTCGATCTCTATTCAGCTGTTCTAATGAAGGGAAACGCAGTGAAGTAAACAGTAAAAGGCACAGCTCTTTTCAGCTGGTGCTGCTCTTCTCAGATTCTGCTGAGTTACACGTTGCTGCCTGCAGTGCCCTGTACGACGGAGCCAGTTCAACAGACCCTGGATATGTTTGATTTACGCGGCTTAACTAACCCTAACAAACGCAATGTCGATAAGCGGTCCTACGAAGCTGGTTATCAACTCAGTAAATCAACCAGGGTTTCTCAGTCCGGCTGAGAGCGTGTTCACGTGAAAGGGACGGGGTTAGCAACATTTGACCAATCACAAAGATGGAGACGCGTGCTGACAGCGCAGCGTCATACTTCATGAATGAATAGTGTAAATAGCAAATCCTGCTTCGTAGTACAGGCCACTGGTGCCGCAGAGATTTCCTAAAGTGAAGGAGGTTTTCCTTCTATAAAACAGCTGTGGGCAGCAGATACTGTGAGTCCCGGACAGGAATCACTCAATTTAAATAAAACGAGGCCAAGCTTTATTAACTCGTGCGCATGCTTTATTAACTCGTGCGAACGAGAAAGTAAAACTTGGCCACGTTTTATTTATTTTTCTCTCAATGAACCCTCCGGGGCTCCGTAAACATTAACTGTTTGTTCATTTTGTATTTCTCTTTACATTACAAATAAATCCCAATATTGGATCATTAAAATAAATCTAATCTAGAAGAAGGAAATGTAAATGGAGAAAGAATTGAAAGCTCACTGCCTTGACTGGCCCGGGTCGCTGTGTTTTGGCTGGAATTGTCTTCTTTATTTTGCACCCTGACTTTGTGAGGACTCCCTTCAGTGGGACTGAAGTGTGTGAGGGCATCCTGTGGTTTGTGACCCGCATCATTCTTTGCTAAAGCAGAGGTCTCCTGCTTAAAGAGCGGGACATGGGCCTTCTCCTGAGGCCCCAGGTAGTGCTGATAGTCCTGAGGAATGAAAGATCTGGCCAAGGGTGTAAACGTACCCAACTTCTTCTCTGGAGCTTTTTTAGATAGAGGTGAAGTAAAGGAACTTAAACTACTTTTTTGTGTGTGGATGTCCTCAGGAGGTAAAGGGAGAGGACAAGAGGAGACTTCTATGCTGGATTTAGAGTCAGTCGGGACTGTGTGCTTCGCTTCATGTGATGGACCCTTCTTCTGTCTAGGAACTGGTGTTGACTTCTTATGTTGCTCTTCAACCACCTTAGCTTGGGGGTCGATGTCTATTGGGAACGTTGTTAGCTGAGGGCCTCCCAGTTTGGATCTCTGAGGAATGGAGGACTCTCTTGGTAGGACCCTTGGATGACAGGTCTTAGATGGACTCTTCCTTATCTCATCATCCTGGTCTTTTGATCTTTCGTTTTGGGATTTGATAGGACTGAGAGGCCTTTCCTCATATTCTGTTTCATCCTTTTCTTGGTATTGGTGAGATGTTGACTGTGCAACCACAGTACTATTGGCTCTTGCAGCGACTACCCTGTGTCCCTTATATTCCTTCTTCCAAAGATCCTTAACCTCACTACTCTTGGCTGGTCTGTCCTCTTGAGGACTGGAACTAGACTGCCTGGGAAGAGGAACTGGAAAATCTGGTTGTTGCTTTTGGGTTTTGAAGCTTACATTAGAAGTTACAGGAGAGATGATGTTTCTCTGTGGCTCCATTAGTGAACTTGTTTGGGAGTCATCCGTCTCTTCATCGATGAGGACTGGGTTTGCTCTATATGTGCCATCTTCTTTCGATAAATCTACTGATAAGCTACAGTTGGTCTGTGGGGACGTGCTGACAGCATCCTTAACTGTCATTTCCATTTGATTTGAGAGATTGTTGTTTATGCTCTTCTCATCAATGTTAGACTTATGGCCAATTAAATCATCTATTCCTTTATTGGGGATGTCTTTGCACTTTGCCTCTTCTCCAGGTATAATTACTTTCGGGCCAGTGTTTTCCCTCTCCAAGAAAGCTTTCAGATTATACAGTCTCTCTGGAAGCTCAACAAATCTGCCTTCTGCTGCCTCCCGCTGATTGTCTGCATCTACTGAGGGCATTGATTCTTTAAAGGATGTGTTCTGCAGTGCTGTAAGTTGTAGCGTTCTGACCTCTGTTGTCTCTGTAGCTTTAGCTTCTTGTTTAACACTTGCAGGTTCGTCCACAGTCGTATTTGCAGCACGTAGAGAGAGGTTCTTCGTTCTGCACTGTTCCTTCTGCTGAGGTATCTTCGCCTCTTCTTTTTGTCCTGTCTTTACTTCATCAGTTTTCTTTTCCTCTCGTCTAAATAATCCGAGCAGTCTTTGTCTAGGCTTTGATGAGACAGAATTAAATGAGCCCTTTGAGCTGCCAGTAGACGGCAGCTCTTGGGTCTCCTCAACAGCAATGTCAGTTTTTTGTTCAGGCATTTTTTGGGGATGATGGTGGAATCCATGGTGCCAGTCTGTGGCCTGAGAGGGAGGCCCAGCAGAAATGAGTGTGGTCACGGCAGGGCTTATAAACTCTGAATGATTTTGCTCAGAGACATCTGCAAAGAGAGCAAGTACAACATGTATCAGTCATGTACATTGTATCCCCTTTACACTGCACAGTATCATTTCAAATATCCTCAAATCAAATCAAGTTTTGTTTCTATGACCCATTATCAAAAAACACATTGTCTGTGTAGATTATTAAGAAAGCACTTCAGCCACACTACTTTGGGATAAGCAATGTATATTTAGTTATATAATAAAGCAATGGGGAAAGTTCAACACATGGCACAAGGCACCATGCCATATCAGTTTGCATTCAAACCCAGTAAAGCCAAATAAAACACATTATTTCTTCCTTTTCTTATCCACCACTCTCTATAAGCAGGCATAACAGAGCTACAAGCAAGAACATGCACGGCCAGGATGTCTAAATGTTTATGAATGAGTCACTGATTGTTAGTTCGATTTATTGATTGATTGGCTGTTTAGTTGATTAATTGGTTTTGAATAAAACTCTTACCACCAAGGACCTGCTGGCCAGCTTCTTGCTTTTGAAGGTTTGCCTCATTTTTGCAACTGAGTTCACCTTCCTGTAAATCCACTTTACTCTGATAGAGAGAAGGCATACACGGACCAACGGCGGTACCGCCACTTTTCTCAAGGTCACTATTATTTTCTGTGTGACAGGGAGTGTTGGAGTCGATGTCCAGCAAACTGTGCTCTCCCAGCTCCTTCCCCTGGAGCCACTCCACGTCGTGACGACCGACCGTGGGGCTGAACCTCACCTGCTTCCTGTCTATCCAGGCCTCAGCAGGAGGGTCCAGGCTCCCTGGACTCAGGTCCAGGGGGGAGAGCAGGAGGTCTGCAGGGCTACAAAGGGACAAGTGCTTGAGGATGCCCCGCAGAGCAGCAGAGTTATTCTGCTGAGCCCAGGGTCCGTCCTCCTCGACAGAACAGTCATGAGAACAGATGCTGAATGCTCTGTGTTCAGGCATTGCAATTGGAACAGATGCATTCTGGGTGATCAGGCTATCATTAGGGCTACTTGCATGAGAAACGCGGCTTTCAAATGATGATGAAGATTCTGAATGAGACAAAAACAAATGTACACAATTTTTACCGACAACACAACTGTGTGTTTTATCTTTGAGTGTTTAAAACCAAACAGAGAACTGAATCACTGCTGGCCTTCAGCAACCCTCAAACTCAGAATGATGTTCATAACCATCAGCCTCTATTGTTCTTTCATCGCCTCATATCTGAAAAGATCACTTCGACCTTATTACTTTTGATCGCAGTCTTTCATTAATGTTTGAAAGTTTTGGTCTAAGAAATTTGTTATGTTTCACGTGTTCCTTTTCAAATATTTGCTCAAAAACGTTGTTCTTCCTTCCTCCGCTAATCATCCAACAACAAGAATGTTTGTAATCCAATCCAATCCAATCCACTTTATTTATATAGCACATATTAAAACAGAGTGTTTTACCGAAGTGCTTCACAGCAGACATAACATTATAA